CCGGGGCCGGCGCAGAGGGTGCTCGGCTGCGCTCACAGCGCTGCGATCGCGTCGCGCCGTACTCGGGTGCTGTCGCTCGAGGCTGTAGCCCTGGCCTGAACAGAAGTATTGACAGACCAACTGAAATTATACAGGCTCCAGTAAATTCACTCCTCTAATTATTTTATTTGCTGCCTATAGTAAATTCCACCTCGCCTTTTATAATCACCCAGTGCGTAATAACCTCAAAATCATTTCACTTAAAAATGACTAATATTTTCTGAGCAAAGTGGTATGGGGGGGGGGGTCAGAACAGGGAAATTATTTTCTGCTTGCATTGTACAAAGCAGTCGTTGTTTAAATGGGTTGCAACACCTCCTGCATCTGAAAGCTTTGGAGAACCCCAAGGGCACGATTCTCAGCTGGGGTAAAATCGGCATACCTGCTCTTGCTCTGGCTTTGGGGAAAAAATTAAAAAATCACAATCGGAAAAGTAAGCGGGCCGTGAGAGAGAGCGCATATTTGGAGGGACTAAATTCAAGAAAAAGAGCGATCTGGTGGATGGGAGATGTTTGGAGAGTTGAGCCTTTCCTTGAAAGCTGCTTGCAGAAAGATGTCGGAGGCGTTTCGGTGCTGGGGTTGGGGACTGCGGCCGGGCCGGGCCGGGTGCTGTGCAAATAAATAACAGGCGAGGTGGCCTGGGTCGAGGCATGTGGTGCAGGGGAGCTGTGGGAGGAGAGGAGCGAGCTGGGGCCGGCCGCGGGGAGGAGGAGGAGGAGGAGGAGGACGAGGACATGGTGACGGGATGCTCCAAAGGGATGCTCCTCCTTGAAGGTGCGGTTCGGTGTGCCAGCAGTGAATTTGGCCCCGTGCCTCAGTTTACCTACTTGTGCACTGGATCTGGTCACCTGTGGGGCGGAGGGCGACGTGAGGGTGTAACGCGTACGCCGAGGCTGTCGCTGGTGAGGGTTCTCCCAGGTTTATTCAGGCAGTGCGGCTTCGCGTACGTCTGGCAGGATTTGAAAGCTAAGGAGCACAGTACACGGGGTTGCGGATTTAAATTAAAAAAGAAAAGAAAAAAGTCAATGCTAAAAAGAAAGTTTCGTTTCAGGGAAGACAGCAGCTAAGGGACCAGAACTATCAAACAAAACCACAAGATCGCATCAGATGTCAGGGCAGGACACGTCTTGTTTCTCCCTCTAAAAAGGGCTTATCAACGCGACCAATCGCTTTAATGATGTGGCGGAGGGAGGAAGAGGATTTGACTCAGAGTGAGATGAAATTTAGTTCCGAAGACCCTGCTCTTCCGCTGCTGGAGACCAGTCACCTGTTCTGAAATCAGCCAGCGATAAATCATATCCTGCAGCGGAAGGTGCTTAGACATGATTTTGCATTATTTTATCTTACTCTTTCCAGTGAATCTGTACGTTGTAGTGGGAGAGAGGGGAGGAAGACAGGCAAAGTGGCAAGAAGAGAAGAGCCCAAGTGCCCGGCTTCAGCCTCCGAATCGTTGCGCCGAGGCCGAGCCTCCCCTCGCCAGGCTCTGCC